AACACAAGCAGGGGGAGTGGGAGAGGGAGAAGCAGGCCTCCTGCGGAGCAGGGAGCCCGATTTGGGGCTCGATCCCAGGACCCTGAGATCATGACCTGAGCTGAAGGCAGACGCTTAACGACTGAGCCACCCAGGCGCCCCTTTATTACATGTTTTTAGAGGAAGACTATTCTTTTTTTTTAAGCAGTTGGCCTTGTCACAATGACTTCTGTAGAAAAGATGGTGTACAGTTGAGTATAGGATTTTAAAGTTAGAAGGTCCTTTGCAGATCATCCAGATTGAACCCCCTCATTTTACAAGTTAGGCACAGATCACTAAAGCAACTTGCACAGTATTACAGAGCTGAGACTAGAACACTGATCTTGCCATAGTGAATGGAACAACATAATTTTTACACCGTGATTTCAAAATGAAGCTTGAGTATCACTTGTGTATGTTGTTTATGTAAACTGAAAGGAAAGTGACGGTCCTTGTTCTTGCCTAACTTTGAGCATGTATACTCAAAATTGGAAAAGTAATTTGTCTTATGGAGAGAATTAAAAGTTTACTCCCAAGTTACAGTGTGAATTAAGTTTGTTTCACCATCTCATTCCACTAGGAAATATAATGGGTAAAAAGGCTTATGGGTCACTAATTTGTAAGTATATTTGTAGAGCATCAGTAGAATGAGTGTTACAATTTTAGATGTTTTAATTGGTGATTTGATCTGGTCGGGGTATTCAAGTTGCCAGAATTGGGAACCTCCAACTTACACATTATTGTTTAATATTTTGTAATTTTTTCCATTTCTGTAAAATTATTTTCATTGTGGTTTTCCATCTTTTGTGCTTTTCTCCAGCAGAAAGCCTCTTTGTCTAAGGTCTACCCATCCTTTATTTTACTTTATTTTTTTATATCTTGTTTATTATTTTTTTTGTTAAAGATTTAAAAAAAAATTTTAAGTAATATATACACCTAGTGTGGGGCTCAAACTTACAACCCTGAGATGAAGAGTTGCATGCTGTAGCGACTGAGCCAGTCAGACACCCCTAAAGTCTAGCTGTCCTTTAAATTTTTTTTTTTTTTTTAAGAGAGAGAGAGTGCAATTCTGTGCCAGGTGGTGGGGGTAGGAGGTGGGCAGGGGCAGAGGGAGAGAGAGGGAGCGAATCCTAAGCAGGCTCCACGACTGGCGCAGAGCCTGACCTGACGTTGCCTCCATCTCAGGACCCTGAGGTCATGACCTGAACCAAAATCAAGAGTCGGATGCTTATCCAACTGAGCCACTCCGGTGCTTTAAAGCCACCCTTATTTTCCCTCCCACCAAACTGCAGATAATCTCTTTCCCCTCTGAGCAGTCTTCACATTTTAACTACATTGTGCATTTCTTAAGCTTTCTACTATTTGTATGTTTCATCTTTTCTAGACTCTTAAATGTCTTTAGGGAAGAGTTCATAAGTATTTTAATCTTTGTTTTTCCATAGTAGTAGATATTCAATAAATATTTGTTGAATGAATTATAGGGGTGTCTGGGTGGCTCAGTCAGTTAGTCCGCCTCTTGATTTCAGCTCAGATCATGATCTCAGGGTCATGAGATGGAGCCCTGTGTTGGGCTCCGAGCTCAGTGAGGAGTCGGCTTGAGGTTCTCTCCCTCTGCCCCTCCCCCTGCTTGTACTTGCTTACTCTGTCTCTGTCTCTGTCTCTAAAATAAATCTTCAATAAATGAATGAATGAATTACAGTGGTATATGAAAGAAATCCCACATCTATGATCATAACAGCTTACAAATTACTAGGTGCTAAAACAATACCTTTTAAAGACTGTAGGAATCAAAGTTCTAGAATGATTGATGTCCATTTTGTCAAACTTTTTATTTAAGGGATTTTTCAAATTTACTGTGCTTTTACTGCTTTCTTTTTCTTTTTTTTTGGTGGGCAGCAAAGCAGTTTATTGAGTAATATTGAGTGATAATACGAAGCTCCCCAAAAGGGAGGGGACCCGAGAGGGTTGCCCCGTTTTCCTGTTTTCACTTAGTGAACTTAAGTATCTTCTAAATGTGTTAGAGTTACCTTATTGATTTTTTTTAAAGATTTCATTTTGAAGTAATGTGGGGCTCAAGTTTACAACCCCGAGATCAAGAATTGCATGCTTTACTGACTGAGCCAGCCAGGTGCCCCTATTGATTTTATAGTACCTAATTTTAAGAGTAACTTTGGATTGGTATTAAGATGTTCTCTAGAGACAAAGTAGTAAATACTTGTATTTGTATCATATGATAAGTAATTCTATAAAATTTTAAATATTTTAAGTCTAGAATTTCATCCTCATTAAACTTTGCATATTTTAGAGTCAAATACGTGTTTTAAAAAAGTTTTATTTGTTTAAGTAATGTCTACACCCATTGCGGGGCTTGAACTCATGACCCTGAGATTAAGAGTTCGCATGCTTTTCCAACTGAGCCAGCCAGGTGCCCCTTAGAGTCAAATACTTTTAAATTTGATTTCTCTTTTTCGCCTTAGAGAAAGGCACTGATTTCTGGTGATTGAAGCCTCCTTAGGCTGGACATACTTTGCTGGGTGCAAATAAACACTAATTATACTAAAACTCCTACTTATTTTTTTGTATGCATACATAGTTAATTTTCTGTCTACCTTTCAACTAATAACCTTTTTTTTAGATTTTATTTATTTGACAGAGAGAGTACAAGCAGGCAGAGTGGCAGGCAGAGGGAGAGGGAGAAGCAGACTCCCCGC